CTGATCCTGTCTACTTGTTGTTCTGTATGCCTTTCCTTAATTTGGCAAGTTTTCTGCTATGACTTTAAAATATTTTCTCTGCCTTTGTCCTCAGTGTTTCATTCCTTTATAGCCCTCCAAGTCCTGTATAAGCCATGCCTGGATTCTCTTAGATTTGACATTATTTTAAATTGAGTGACCCATTTCCACAACCCTGTCTTCAAGATTTGATTTTCTCTATTCCATTTCCTCCACTTCCTTTTTGATTCTTTGAGGTTTTTGTTTGAGTTCCTGAGTTTTTCAAATTTTGTTTCTGTTTGGTTTTTCTTCAGATATTCTATGTTTATTGAGTTCTAATTTTTTGCAATTCAACTGTTTGATTTTCATCAGTTTCATTCTTTTGTTCATATCCTCTTTGAGTTCCCTGACCTCAAAGCATTCCCATTAAAATCAGGAACAAGACAAAGATGTCTACTCTCCACTGCTATTCAATACAGTACTTGAAGTTTAAACTAGAGATATGACAAATGAAGGAGATAAAGGGGATACAAATTGGAAAGGAAGAGGTCAAAATATCCTAGGTTGTCATGTTCTTTGTGTTTTTTCATGAGACCTAGGCATCTGGACTTGTGTTGCTGCTGGTGTTTCTTGGCATGGGTAGGTGATCTCATCTTTGTTGAGTATGTGTATCTTTGATGTTTCCTCAACTTGTCATGTTATGACCTAGCTGAGTGGTGCTTGTTATTGTTTTGGGGCCACTTTATGTTGTTGTATGAATGGGGTGTAAGAAGTGTTATCAGGGGGATGGAGAGATGGCTCAGAGGTTAAGAGCACTGTCTGCTCTTGCAGAAGACCCGGGTTCGATTCCCAGCAACCACATGGCTACTAACAACTGTCCATAACTCCAGTTCCAGGGGATCAGACACCCTCTTCTGAACTCCGAGGGCATTTCATGACACAGGTGCACTTGCAGGCTACACACTCATACACACAGACCCCAGTTCGAATCTCAGCATCCACATGGTGGCTAACAACCATGTAGCTCCAGTTCCGGGGGCTCTGACGCCCTCTTCTGTCCTCTGCAGGCATTGCATGACATGGGTGCACTTACACAATGCAGGCATAATATTCATACACATAAAAAAAGAAAAAAGAAGTTTTTTTCAGGAGTCTTTGCAAGGCTATCCGCTGTGCATTTGCACCAAAGCAGCAGCTGGAGTTGTGGTGGTTCCATCTTCATCTCAATGATGTTGCCCTTGGCCAAAACCACACTAAGCTGCCTCCAAGCATTCTGCAAACAATGGCAAGGCAGAGCCACCAGAAGAGACACCTGCTTTCCATGACAAATATAGTAATGCTGTATCAGCAAGTGGAGCCATTTTCTGTATTTCTACATGGACGTATACAGCAACACAAATTGGAATAGAATGGAACCTGTCCCTTGTTGACAGAGTCATCCCAATGTAAGATGGGAAGTAGTGCTGTGAAGTGCTGTCTTCTGGACATGACATGCCCATTGCACTCATGAACTCACACCAGTTATGTCACCTACAGAAGATCAAGCCAGTTAGCATTACTGCATGGGTAGGGAGGGTCTCATGAGGCACCACCCCTAGCTGATGAACTATCAGTAATTGAAGGCTGCTGTGAGGGGAGAGGAAGTCATTTGGGTGTGTGACTGCTGGTAGGTTGCCTATGGTCTGGTGGATGGCCTCATACTCATGTGCAGGCAGGTACCATTAATTAAACTTAGCAAGTTATTAAAAATAAAAAGGGAGACCACGATGTGAAGGCAAATACTAGAGAAGGTCTGGGAGGACTGGGAGAGGGGATTTGGATACAACCAAGATCCTGTATACATGTTTGAAGTTGTCAGAGACTAAGTAAAAGAAGATGCTAAAGGTAGCTAAATGACCCCAGACAGTGGTTCTTACCATGTTTATCAGAGTCAGTTGAGCAGTGTTCTAAATCCTAAGTGATTCTCATGCATGGATCTAGTTTATAATCATAAAGTGTGAATCCAGTTTGAATCTTAGAAGCTGCCAGGGACCATGAGAGCAGCAAGGGTGTGTGTACCAAAAGTCCTGCACCCTCAGCAGAAGCACCAAAGCTGCACTTACTCAACACCCCCCTCTTCAAGTTATGTTTCACTGAGGTAAAAGACACATAACTAAAGGTAATCATCTTGACCATTTTTAGTGCGTAGTAATGTGGCATTGAGGGCATTCACATTGTACAATCATTCATCTCTAGAACCATCATCTTGTCAACCTTAACTCATTCAACACTAACTTCCCATGTCCTCTTCCTCCAGCCACTGGCACCTACTGCTCAACTTCTGGTCTCTGGGAATTTAACTACACCGGGTCTCATAATTCTATTTAATTTTTAAAGAATCACTATACCAGGGATGAAGAGATGGCTCAGTGGTTAAGAGCACTGACTGCTCTTACAGAGGACCCAGGTTCGACCCCCAGCACCCACATGGAGGCAAAGAACCATTCTTAACTCCAGTTCCAGGGGAATCCAAAGCCCTCTTCTGACCTTCGTGGCTTTGCATGACACGGGTGCACTCACATACATGCGGGCAATACACTCATACACATAAAATAAAAATAATAAAGAAAAAAATTTTTTAAAAAGAGTCATTATACCATTTCCCATAGAGTCTGCAATACATGAGGGTCTAACAACTTCATTCACATCCTTCAGTATCTGTTCTTGCCTGTTTTTGGTAGCAGCCATCCTCAGGAGCATGCTAGAATCTTTCTCAACATAGCACTGTCCATTGATCAAAGTTAACAAGAGAGATGAGAGCCCTTTGTTATTTCTGAAGTGTGAGTATTTCTCCAAACTGTGATTATGGGGACTTCTACGCTTTTTCAAAATGAAATCAAAACCAGGGTTTGCTAGGCAGCAAGATCATTATGTTATCAGGGACTGTACACAAGGTTGACTTTTGAAGGGTGGTGGGGAAAAAGAAACCGGGAGGAAGGATAGCTCGTATGTAAAATGTCCAAGCAACAGAGATAAGGCAGGAGAACAACAACTGTGCATAGAACAGCACCAGGAGACAGTGCGCAAAACACCGGAAAAGTTCAGTGATGGGGGTGGGGGAGCTGCCCGAAATCCTGGCTGAAGTAGTGATGGGATTTTTCTTTCCCTGCTTTCTTCTTGTTTCTTCCCTATACGCTTCACTTCTCTGCTGCTCATGAATCTATGCTTTGAATGAATCAGCTTTTTATTACTGACCCAAGTATAGCATTTCAGGCATGGCTCATGGAATACCACTCACACTGTACAGCATGTATATGGCCTGACCTGGACTTGTCAGTATACATCCTGAACAGCAACATGACAGCCATGCCCAATGGAACCCAAGAGTAAAGTATTACATTATAAATGTGTATTTAGGGGCTAAAGAGATGGCTCAGTTAAGAGCACTGGCTGCTTTTCCAGAGGACCTGGGTGTGATTCCCAGCACCCATATGGAGGCTAACAACTCTCCATAACTCAATTCCAGAGACTCTGACACCCTCTTCTCGCCTCCCCAGGCATTGTATGCAGGGGTGCACTAATATACATGCAAGCAAAACACTTATACACATAAAGTTGAAAAAAATCTTCTAAAACGTTGTCTATGGAATTTTTATAAAAAATGAAAGATTCACGAATATCATGGTTCAATAAATTATAGTAGAGGTATGCAAACGAAGAAGAGGATCATATGTTATGTACTAACAGATCATCAAGATGTATTATATGAAGATAGATCCAAAAAGATGAGTATTGCATATTACCATGTTTGTAAAAGAGGGGAAACAATGTATCAACATTAGATGGACAATATTTGCTTGTCTGAAAGAAATATCTCTCAAAGTACTGTATAAAAAAATCTAAGTATCATGGTTGTTTGTCCACAGGAGGGGACAGGGATATAGGAGATGGAAGGGAGAAGGATTTCTTTATATATTCTACTATATTTCCTACCATAGAAATATATTCCATCATCTTCCCGATGTGCCTTCCTGAGCTGTGTTGACCAGAAGGCTCAGCTCCATCTCAGATCCCGTGGCAGGCAGTAGAATGGAAGATGTGTATATTAGGGGATGAATGCCATTTTCCTACTGCTCTGGGTTGGGTGTGTTGATGCACACCATTAATCTTAGAACTCAGGAGGCAGAGGTAAGCAGATCTCTCTGAGTCTGAAGCCAGCCTCGTCTACACAGTGAGTTTCAGGTCAGTCAGAGCTACATAGTGAGACCCTGTCTTAAACACTACCCCCCCAAACCCCACCAAACAACAACGACAAAAAAAATAAATAAATAACAAAAACTTTTGATGTGTATGTGTGTGTACACATGTGGAGGTCAGAGGTCAATACTGGGTGTCTTTTTCAATTGCTCTCCACCATATTTCTTGAAAAAGGCCTTTTGTTGAACCTGGAAGTAGCCAGCTGGCTAGGCTGGCTGGTTCAAACTTGTGCTGATCCTCCTGCCTCCCTGCTTGCCAAGTGCCAGGATCACAGGTTGAGCCACTGTGTCCAGCAAAAGGATTCTTGAGTACTATACCACTATACATATTTGGTCTTTAGTTATTTAAACTTTATTTTAAGATGAGATGGCTCAGTCATTAAGAGCACTGGCCGCTCTTGCAGAGGACCCAGACTTGGTTTGCAGCACCCACATGGTGGCCAACCATCATCTATAACTCCAGTTCCAGGGGATCCAACACCCTCTTCTGGCCTCTGCAGGCATTGTAAGAATGTATTTACAACATGCAAGCAAAACACTTATTTATACACATAAAATAAAAAAAAAATAAAAGTTATCTTAATTTGGCAAATGACAATTTAATGAGCACTCATGACCTTAATAATGGATGAGCTAACTTAATACCCCATCAGATTAGAAATAAATATTCATATGACTATGTGCAAGGGGCTGTGTCTGTGTGTTTTGCCTATGTAGAAAGAGATAGACACAATCCTTATTTCCAATAAAATTCTGGGAGAAGATAAATTCAAATATTAGTTTTTTCTTTTTATTTAACTCAAAATAGCTAGTAACATAAAAACATTTCCAAAGTATCTCTAATACTTCATTATTCAGTTATTTTTGGTGAATGACACTCAGTTACTTCATTCTTATTGCCAACATGTAACATAATCCATCATAAAAATGTATTTTTAAAAGTTTGCAGCAGGCTTTCAATCTGTAGATTTAGATGCCAGTAAAAAACCATGATGTGGTTAGTACTTTCAATTTTAAATATTTTCCCCACATTGAAACGTATGAAAATAACCATAAATAGGCCGTTAATCAGCACATACATACAGGTAGTACATATGCTTTGATCCTTCATTACTCAGCAGATGAACATCTGTGTGACATCCAGTGGAGTTTCAGCATAAACACATCTAACTCACATTAATCCACACATGAGGTCAGTGAAGAGGAGCTTGTAAGAAAATCACACGAAATGCTGTGGCAGAGCCAGGCGCTGCATAATCATACACAGGGAGGAGACGCAGCACGGTCTGTCTGCTCCTGATGTAGCCACTCTTAGCTCAGGCCCACCTCTTATGGGGCAAGAATTTTGCAGTGTGAGTCTAGTTTTCAAAGTATGTGCTTTCTATATGAAACGGCCCCTAAAACCCCAGCAGTGGTGTCAGCTGGTCTTCAGAGGAGTACTCATATCTTCCAAAACTGGAGGAAAAATTAATGGAGGACGGATTTCCAATACAGTCTTTTTAGAGGGCTTCCAAGGATGGTCCCAATACCCCATTCCATACCAAGCACTGATGGGGGAAGCTAATCTGTGGGTGTGAGGCTGTGCCACTGTAGTGAAAACTAAAATGCCATGATCCATTGATACGGTCCACCATCAGGACAACTGAACATCCAGGTTGGCTCCATCCTCAGTCTGCACAGTGGGTTCAACCCTCCTCTGGTGCCAGCACTGCAGAATGCAGCATCCCTGACAGAGAAAACCTCCAGGTGAAAAGATGAGTGTGCCAGGATCTGAACAGAAGGCCACCAAGGTTGTTCAGGGCCAGCTTGACTCATGATATGATTTTCAATTAGCAAATGGTGTGGGTGAAGCAGAGCCCAGCTTTGATTTGTGCTGCTCGGTGCTCCCGGTAACCTACCATGGCCTCCTTTTCGTGGCTTCCCAGGTCGGTGGCTACCTTCAGTTCTTAAACACTTGGCCTTAACCTGGCCCTGCCCTGGTCCAGTTTCTATTTTTAAAAGCACCATTCTAATGGAAATGTCCCTGCTCTGAATTAAGCTGCAACTGTGAATTTTCCCACTAGCTAGAGCTGTTGTGGCCCAGAGTTTTGGTTAATTTGGTAGTTATTGATTTCTTTGCCTACAACTTTGAAACTTGCTTCAGCTTTTTTGAGCCAGGGAGGATTTCTACCTAGGTTGGAGATGAGGGTAAAATATGCCATGAAGAACTCCTTCAATAACCACGTTTGGAAAATCTGAAAAACAGAAGAAAACTGTTTTTCTTAATGTGCATAAACAAAATGCAATTGCTGCTTATGGACAAAAGTAATGGGGTCAGGGCCACCACGTCTCTCTGGAGTTGGCATGGCCAAGCTGTCTGTCCTTGGGCGAGGAAAGAAGGTCAATGGTCAGGGTTAATGCCTCTCCAGACTCTACAGTCACTTGGTCATATTCACCTAGTCACAGAGTACTAGCGTTTGTGCTCTGCAGCCCAAAGCCACTTTTGCTACCACCAGGCACCATAGGACTCCACAGCCATATTTGTAGTGTATTGATTCGGGGGATGTTCCAACAGTTAATGCTGCTAGGCTCCAGCTCTCTATCTGGATGTTTTCACACAAGGAAGATAGATTACACTGGTAATTCAATTTCTAACAAAATCTCAATACACTTGAAGGAATTCCAAGATTTCTACCGGGAATACTTGGCTGTGGTTTTTTTCCACTGAGGCTTGTGGCAACATTTAGCATAAGTTGTCCTGTGCAAAGATGGGGCCTGGTTTCTTAACGTGAAAGGGCAAATTCCTAACAAAAGCCATCCCCATCGAACTTGAAAAATCAGCCTCATTTTTGTAGGAAATACAAAAGAAACCCAGAGGTGCACACACAGTAGGTTGTGCCAAGGCCTAGATACCAGAGCAGGTAAAATATGAAGGGGCTTTGGAGACAGATCTTTCCATGGCTCAGATATTTAAGTTTAAGCTTCAGTCTGTGCACAATGATAGCAGAAGGCAGGCTAAAGTCTAGCACTTTGAGCATAATTATAAAAATGGCTCAATATCCTAATACTTTTATTTATAACCCTGTTACCTATAGAGTAAGTAGATACCAGGTAAAATTACATACAAAGGGATTGGTCCTCATTAGGGAAGGCAGGAAGGGTCCAGGGGAGGACAAGGACAGTTTGCTGCAGGAGGCAGCCTAGAGGGTTTGGAGTCATCCATTGATGTGAGGCCATAAGGGCACTGGAGCTGAGGAGGCCAGTGTTGCCAAGTCATGCCTCAGAACAGACAGAAATTCTAGCTTTATCTGAAATATACTAAAAAGTTACTGAGGGGTTAGAGTGAAGTGAGACAGGATCAAATTTTGATAAGAAGACTGACTGCCACTCAGAGAATGGGCTGAGGTGAGTTTGAAGTGGACACAGATGAATTTAGCTACTGCAGCAGTTCAGAGGGAGATCTTGATGTAGGATGCAGTACAGTGGGTGGGTCCTAGAGAAAGGAAAGGTGTGACCTGAGGATGAACACAGGTGATTGGTGGGCAAAAGGGAAAAAAAGTCAAGGATTAAACTGGGCGGGGAGTTGAATGCTTGCAATCTCAGTACTTGGAGGCTAAGGTAGGACCTTAGCTTCAAGTTCAAGGGCAACCTGGGTTATACAGTGTCTCATAAAAGGGGGGTAAAAGAGAAGAAATAAGGAGGAAAAGGAAGGAAAGGAAGAAGAGGGATGGGAGAGAGAGAGAAGGTAGGAAAGGAGAAGAGTAGGTGAGGGAGGCAGAGGATAAAATAATAATTTTCATCACAGGTGCCTCTTGTTTCTGTCTTATCCAGAAGGTGGTAAGAGGAGCCAAGGAACGAGAGTGAAATAGAAGGCGATCAGTGCAGCTTGGGTCTTGTTGAGTTTCAGATACCCTTGAGACTAGCCAAGAGTGAAGTCAAGCACATAGCTGGACACAGTGACAAGTTTACCTCAGTAAGTATTTCCTGAGAGAGCTTCCTAGATAGTTATTTGTCAGCTCTGTGACCACAGCTGGGCTGCCTTAACTGCTGTGTGCCTTCTTTTCTACAACCATGAAGTGGATTCCACACCAGTGAATGGTCTTATGGGTCATTGTAAAAGTTGACCAGTAGAACAAAGCATAAGGTCCAGAGTCTGGTATACAGTAAATACTGGCTATTACTGCATTCTGCACACTCTTCCAGTTACTGGAAATGTTTAAGTAAATCATAGTCCCTGCTCAGACCATGGAACAAGTGCTAGCAACCACATCACACAGTGTTTTACAAAACATTTCTAGGGGCTGGACAGCAGTTAAGAGCACTGGCTGCTCTTGCAGGAAATGGGGGTTTGGATCACAGCACCCATATGGCAGCTAATAACCATCTGTTAACTCCAGTTCCAGGGGATCTGACACCCTCTTCTGGCTTCTGCGGGCATTGAACACATGGGTGCACTTATATACATACAGGCAGGACATTCACATCCATTAAAAAAAATCTCTAATACATGGGTATCCGTTATTTTTGGTTGCTGCCATTTGTTTAGTTAGCATATGTCGCCTTTCTACAACATGAAATAATCATTTTATCACATACCAGATCTTTAAAAGGTTGCAATAGGCCACATACCTGTATATTAAAAGCAATTATTATTATTATTATTATTGGTCTTTTTGAGGCACAGTCTCCCTGTAGCCCCAGTTGGCCTGTATGGCCTCAGTCTGGCCTTGAATTCACAGAGATCTATCTGCCTGCCTCTGCTTCCTGAGTGCTGGGATTAAAGGCATGTGCCACCATACCCACCACCTAGCTAATTTTAATCTAAGTTTATTGCTCATACAAATATGCAATAAATTGAGCCAATGATTCATTTTCAATAAAATACCCCAAAGAACATATTTCACACAAGGGGCATCTATGTGTTTATCTTTTCCATCCACAATCTGAAATTCTGCTTGAATATCACTTAAATTATATCATGAGCATATTTAGCTTCAGTGGATTCAACTAAGTTCAGTAAAACACCACCAAAAATCTCATTAAGTCCAATGAGAAATTCTACAGCATTGCTAATATGTCGGATAATGGTTTAAAGGCCAGGAAACAAAGCAGAGTGTGGATTATAAAGGACACAGGACAGGAAAGGGAAGGGGAAAGATGGTCCAGGGTGAAAGGCCACTTGAGAGTTGAATGAGGTGCTGTAGGAGCCGGCTGCATAGCGTGTCCGGGACAAGCACTCCCTGTAAAGGGAGCAGACAGTGCATGGCAGCTCATATTGCCTACCACAGTCATCTGGGGCCACTTCTTCTGAAGGAAGCAGACAGGGAGCTCTGAGAAAAAGGGAACAGGATGGAGATATTTCATCACAGGGCCTGCCAACTAGTGCCGGTGACGGGATAACTAGGCTTTGCCTGCTTCCTTGCTCCCTCCCTCCCTCAGTTCTCATTTGTTCCACTACACTGGAAACTTTAGATTTTGGCTTTATCACAGGCATGATTTAATACAATGTCCATTGTTGCTGAATTACTCAGAGAACTGTCCTTATTCTTGTCTCCCATTGAGAAATGAGGAGAAGGAATATGACTTAGAGTAAGTTTTTTGTTATCTTTATTGGTATATATTTATCTGATAAACAACCACTGTGAACAACAACAGAAGAAAATCAAACGGGTGCAGGAGGGATCCTGGAGGATCCTGCAGAGAGAGTGGCAGCAAAGCCTTCAAATCCATGACACTTAGCATGAAGCTTGGGAGAAGAGAGATGCGCCAGGTAAGCGGACCAGAAGATACATGCACAAGAAGCCACCAGTGCTGTGGGGAAGGGGTGGCCCATCTGAGGCCCGGAATGAACTGCAGGGTGGCTGGAACAGAGTAGAGATGTGAAGAGAGATGATCCAGGGAAGACCACAGCAGGAGTCTATGTTGGAAACGTGATACTGCTTCTCAGCCGCATACATAGAGAAGTTCAAGACCATGAGCGAGGAGATCATTCCACCAGAAAACTTCAGTGGGGGAAATCGAAGGAAGAGAGTGTGGTCAACATCTCTAAAGCTGATGAAAGGACAAGGAGGATGAAGGATAGAATTGTCCAGAATGTTTAGCTACACTGAGGCCACCTGGGTCCTTGGAAAGAGTTGTTTTGAATTTTCTAGAAACATTAAAACAAAGAGTAAAAAGCACAGGCTTTTCAAACTGTTAACTGGGTACTTTCTTGAGACTTTTGTTGCCAAAAGCAAAGAAGATAATGATCAATTATCAACCTTTTCTATGTATGTATGTGTGCATGTGCACATGTGTGTGCATGTATGTGGAGGTCAGAGGTCAACCTCTGGTTTTATGGCTGGCAGCGAGGCTGGCTTCTTTCTCTTCCCTTCTCCTTTCCGATTTTCCTTTCTTCTTCTTCTTCTTCTTTTTTTTTTTTTTTAATGTGAGTTCTAGGGATGGAACTCAGCTCTTTATGGTTTGAGCAGCAAGCATTTTACCAATATGTCATTTGTCTAACCTTGATTATTAGCATTTTCTAAAAGAATGTCTAAAATGTAAAGAAAGACATTCCTTTGACTATAGGAGTATGATGGTAAAAGATTTCCATACTCAGTATTTTCTGGAATAATAACCTTCAAGTCTTGCTAAGTGGCATCTCAGCAACACAAGAATGTGATACAAATACAGTTTCTCTAAGTTAACTGTTAAGTACTTCTAAGACAAAAAGAGTCTAATTTGTGAAACGGGGTTGGCAAAAATTCTAGGAAAATAACATGATGACCCCTGCACCATGTACGCACCAAACCCATTATTTCCATCTACTCTGAAACAGGATTTCTCTTATTTTATGTCTTCATCCACATTACAATGTGACCAACAATACACACATCTTAATCTTCCTACTCCACACATTTGCCCCACATTCCTCCCCAGAAGGTTCCTCTGATGGTCAGTACCAAAGTATACACAAAGTATGTACTATGTGGTAGGTGCTACTTAACAAGCAGGAAGAATCACATTTAAAGCATCTCAAAGTTAAGCATCCTCGTGATTCCTGTCCAGAGTCGTCACTCCACTTTCTCTATTGCTGCAGAAACTTAGTCAGGTGCATGAACTATTTGAACACAGACAATAAAAAAAATTTTTTTGAGACAGGGTCTCACTATGTAGACCAGGCTGGCATCAAACTCACAGAGATCCACCTGCCCCTGCCTCCTGAGTGTTGGGATTAAAGGTGTAAGCCACCACATCCAGTTTACAGAGCCATTTAAAAAAGAATATGACAGTCTGGCCCAAGTATATCATTCAACACTCATCAAAGAAGCTTCTTTTTGCAACAGATGGAGGCTACTGCAGAGTTCCACAACTGATCACACACAGAGAATATATGTCTGAGAGATGCCAGTCTTAGGTGATACACCTACAGCGGAACCCCTACACCTAAGGCTCATGGAACATAGTGGAACAGGGGGCAGAGAAAAACTAGTGCATCCCTCAACTCTCACCAGCTAAGCTTCCTTATGCAACAGAGTATAATGCACACGCAAGGCCACACAGGCCAACTTTTAAAGAATAAGAGACTGCAGAGTGTGTGTCCCAGGATAGGACTCCTATGTTAAACATCACCCTCCAATGGCCTAGGAACCATAGCAGAAGAGGGGGTGGAAAGATTGTAAGAGCTGGGGTGGCTGATGAACATAGGGAAACAGAGGGTTTCGGGCCACTGGAAGCTTGCACATGTGAACTTATAGCAATGGAGGCGTTAAGCATAGGACTCATGCCACAACTAGTTGTGGGGGGCATGGATTAGGGAGGGGGTCTAAGTTTGATTAAGAACTGTTGTATAAAATGTACAAAAGCTAAATAAAAAATTAAAAAATAAGTAAATAAGACAATATGACTATGTAATCTAGAGTAGGTTATATTATATTTGCTAAATCCGAACAAAAAGTCCCTATGAGGTCATTTTTACAGCAGAGGCAACTCTGACCATGGTCAGAGGAGGAACAGTCTCTTTGCAAAACGTGTGTGTCTTTCATCCACTGGTAGCTAAGTAGGTGGTATAGACAGAGTCCCAGGCTACAGACATCAGTCCCCTTTCTGGCTGGCAGAAAGGTCTTGTCAGAACAAGGAGCGGTCTCAGGAGTCCTTCATCTGCTGTGCTTCTTAGTGACTCTCAGTTCGAGACTCACTGTACAAAAGCACAAAAGAACTCAAGGCTCCAGCCATCCACCTGCCGCCTGACAAGTCACAGATCTGGCAAGTCTGGCAAGTCACAGACCTCCCTTAACCGTCATTTCCTTATTGAGCCAATGATACATCTGCTGAGCCTATTTCATAAGGGGGGAAACTTAAATGAGATGATGTCCCAGAATGTCCTCATGGAGAGCTGCATAGAAGAACTGACCTGAGAAAGACTCTGAGGAATTGGAACTGGAAAAGGACTGGGGCTAAAGTATTGATTATGGCTATACTTAAATCAATTAGTTGTATTTAAAATACACAATCTTAAAAAGTACACACAGCTTTTAGAAAGAAACACTTTTAAGAAGGACTAGAATTTTGAAACTGAACCCTGGCATTGAGATTAAAAACAAGCAGTGATCCAAATAACACACACACACACACACAAATTTTTTTAAAGAAAATAAATCCTTTCCCTCTTACCTCCTCTTCTTCTAATTCAAAATAGGCTGAGAAGAGAGAAAGAAAAATTACATTTCCTCCTGAAAGGCTGGCCCCAATTAAAATTCTAAATGTCTCTTACACCAAGAGCACTGGTTTATTGGCAGATGATTAAGCCCTGGACCGATGTCACTCTGTTAGACCCGTATTACAAACGTGGTTTATGTGGTGCAGGGGCAGATCAGTAAAGAGCTGTTAGCAGATGACAGGTTTGATTACCGCTGGCTGCAGGCAAGACGTATGGATCCCCGAGGAACAGCAGCACCGGCTGGTGGGACAGTTTGCTAGAAAGGTCAAGAACAGGCATGTCAGCATCAGGGGACGATGGTAAACAGAAAACACTACAAACTAGCTTTGAGGGGATCAAACTGCTGTGTGGGGATGTCTCAAGGTTTCCACATCTACCAGTGTGGGTGAGCAACAGCAAATACCCTGAAAGGGAACATGGGGGCTGCACTCATCTTCCTAATATTCCTCTGTGGGCCCTGAAGCACTATTCATCCATATGATAAACCACTGCTGGAGGCTGCTTTCCTAAAACTTGGTAATAAGGCCATAAGCAAAACAGTATTCTTATTGGTGGCTCTTAATCCTTTACTCCTAATTATAAACAATCACCCCTATAATCTCTATCAAATATTTGTCATCTCAAAACCAATATCCAACAAAGGTTTTCAAGAGAAACATGACTTTGAACAATTATACCATGGGTAATTACACATTAACAAACCACAGTCCTATTATTGATCTCTTAATTCCTGACTGAATAATACTAGTTCTTACCTTGACTCCTCAGATTCTGTCTCATCAAAAGACCTGAAATTTTTGTAAAAGAAAAGAAAAAAAGGAAAAGATAAAATAAGTTAAGTCAATGTATATGCCAACAAAGCAAGGAAGAGTACTCTTAACATTGAATTGGAAATTTGTACTGAGCCCCAGCATGGCTGATGACTCATACTAAGGAATCTTAAGCATGGAAGAGTCTCAGGACTTAAATTTTCCTGAAGAGCAATTAAAAACCCTAATGTTTCATTACTTCTTTGGGGCTGGAATAGTAAAGACTTCACTTGCTGTTGTTGTACAAGCATCTATGAACCTGTCATTCCAGAAAACACGTGCCCACAGGTTGGAACAGAATACAATGACTACATAGATTTTTTGGTATGTGGTATTCTGGCTGTGGGTGAGTAGCAAGTGGTCCTGAGTGAACAGTTCTGACAAGGAGCAGTGACAGGAGCCTGCAGCCCTGCGTCCAGCAGACAGGTGGGATTTCACTTGACTTCAGGAAAGGACTGAAGGCAGAGGGAAAAAAAAATGGGTAAAGCTCTCTCCCCTGCTGGATTTGTGCTGCGTTACTTCTCTGTGGATGGACTTACTGGGCAGGAGTGTCACTGACTGCCTTAGAGGCTATCAGCTCAAGCCATGTGCCCCTGGATGGGCAAGAGGCTTGCTGCAGACTTAATGCTTCAGGAGAACTTTCTCCAACTGCTGGTAAAAGAGAGCCTCTGGTTCCATGATCAATAGGGACTGGTGTCAAAACTCCAGTAGTTACAAGTTACTAAGGGAGAAGCAGGAGAGGGCTTTTTACACCGGAAGGCTTGGGTTCTACGGGTTACATAGTTTGGGAAAGACACTATTTTCCTATGTCTCTGACCACAAAATGAGGAGTGTTGGATCAATTATCCTTGAGATCATTTATCGCTTTAAAACTGCATGCAAATGCTTACAAAAGGGATACGTGCTTGGCTTAAACATCTACAAGTAAGGGATCGCCCTTGATTAGACTATCTGGACTCATAACTACCATCCCGCAGCACCACTCTATGTGACACCATTGTTTAAGAGGTCAATTCCTTATGCCTAAACATGAGTTAGCCTGGGCCATTTGCTACAAGATGAAGTAAGGACTTGGGAGGACTGCCTCTCACTAAAAGTAGAGGGGTGAGCGAGTATTCAGCTAAGAGACTGGATGTCGCCAGCTTGGCCCTTTGGCACCACAATGGGATATTTGTTTGGTTAATCAATTACTGAAGAATAATTTAAAATATATGCCCATAATGTAAACAACAGTTCTTACCCACAGCTTTCTGCCTTTGGTAGAGAGGGCAAGTGTCTTACATTTAGGAAATCAAGAAAGAGTTTGGGAAGTTCTTCATTTTCCAAAATGACAGCCTGAGAAAGCAGAAAATAAAATTAGGAACTAAAGGGAAGTTTGTTAGGTCGTCAGCCAAAAGAACTTTATCAAAAAGTCATAACCGTCCATCAAAGTCCTTGCCAGCAACATTCCTCACGGCTGACATGAGGAGTGGTCCATCTCGCCCAGCACAGACTCAGGCTGACACACATGCACACATCAGCACACCCTGCACTTTACCCACTCCTTCACCATAGATCTGCAGCATGACTCCCACCTTCAGATGCTGACAAGACCCTGGGGAAGCCCTGGACATGGTCCATGTCTTCAAAGACTCACATCCAGCGTGAATAGTACAAAACCCAAGCACATCAATAACACTGCTAAGATAGAGAAATCAATTTTTTTCTTAGAGGGTGATAAAGTATTTACATTTCCATAAGAGGCCACTACTCTTTGGGAAATACTGCAGTTTTTCTATCTGGAAGATTTAATCAAACCCCTTGGCTATCACCTGTTTCTGTTCCAGGATCAGCTGACATTTATTACCATCTGGACAGCTCTACTTAAAGGGTCAGTGACAATTTTACTACTAAGTGTAAATCAGGGTACATATTGAAAAGAAATCTATAAAGTTCTTCCACTTAAAGAGCTCTGCTAAATAGCTGGCATAATGGCACAACCATGTCAGTACACTGAGATCCAAATTATGCAACTTACAGGAGAAATTTGATGGAGATTATGGAGTGCACTTTCATGTTTATACATTTCTAAAAGAAGTTGCCAATGTGTGGGAACTGATGACACATTTGTTCTGTTTTTCTCCCTCCATCAGCCCCCCAAGACTATGAGAGCAAAGCACTGGATTGTAGACTAATCCCTGCAGCTAATATAACTATTCTTTTGTTTGTCTTTTGAGGGAGGGTCTCAGGCACTAGCCTGAGCTGGCCTTGAATTTGTGGTAATCTTCTTGCCTCGGCCTCCTCAGTGTTGGGATTATAGTTAAGAATGATCATGCTTGGCAATAAAACCACTCTTAAGACTCTTTTAAAATAGCCTACCATGGGTTTTTTCCTAAAAGCACACGTTATCTAAAGAACAGTAAGAATTGGTGGTGAAATGCTATTTGATAGCATCTCAGGAATAGCTATATAAGCTGGTGCACAAGATACATAACAAAAAAAATCAGGTTCAATTATGTGGGTAAATGGTTCTATGTATGTAGGTTTTAGCCATTCCTTTACATCCTGAGTTGCTTCATTCCTCACAAGGCTTTGAAATTCTATTACCCATTTCAGGCCACACACATGGACTGAGGGGTTGCACAGGCTGCCAGTACTGCCAAGCTGGGCTCTATACTATGCTAGTGCCAACGCTTATGCTGTTCAGGTCCTGGAGAGGGCTCACCTGGAAAGTTAGGGCCATCTGGGGGTGCTGTCACTATTCCTCAGACAGCCCACTGTACCATAGAATCTTAAGGAATAAAATAAAGACATGAGATTGGGAATTCTACTCTGCTCATTAAATAAAATTTACTGAGCATCTATTCTATCAGGCACTGGGCTATCAGGGAAAACTATGGGTCCAGTGAATTGTGAGATAACTACGCACACACACAACTCAAACTTGACTTACAGCAAAACAGAATCAAAACACTATACCATTCTCTGAATGTCTTCTCATCTATTTGTCCATTCATCCACCTAGCCTTCATCTTATATATAATATTCTTTCCCTAATTATAAAAGTGGAAAGTAAAAACTTTAGAAAACAAAGGAGGGGATGTGTTCTTTGCAGAATTTCATACATTTTAGTTAATTTCTTTTAAATCATTTGACATTTTTATTAATTTTTTTACCTATTCAAGGGAATGTTTGAGTGCCACGGGTCACTGCTTCAGTAGTTCAAAAAGTTCTAGAAATTTTGGCCATGAAACAGATTGAAGTGATCATCAAGATGTTTCGAGATATCTGCTTAACAGGATAGCACAATACCTATGTGAATAATAAAATTTAATGTTTCGATAAATATGGAACTATTCACACCAGCAATAGTTTTAACTATCAGTGTGAATTGTAGCCTTCAGACTAAAAAAAGTGGGGGACAGCTCAACATTCTTATCTCCACCCCCACCTTTTTAAAGTAAATTAAATCAATAAGAAGTGTGGGACACTTTTAATGACCTGAACTACTTAATTTCCAGGATCTTTAGACATGTCATCCATCACTGCAGGATGGAAGAAGACATCTCTCTAGTGTTCAGGGGGTTACTTTGGTTTTATTAATGCAAGATTTAGGGAATTTTAACAAGGCGAATTGTTTATTTGCCTTGACAGATTGGCTTACAATGCACTGGCTACATCTACAGCATGATCATTAATGACAAAAGACAGGCAAAAAGCTGTTTACACTGCAACACAGGCATGGGAATTAATCCTGCTCACCCTCCCTGGAGCTCTCCAAACAGATGACCACATTGTTTTAGGTAAGTTATACTGGCAAAAGGGAATACAGAAAACTCTAGAAACTTACAAGTATCTATTTTTATTTCCTGCATATTCTCAATTTATATTTTCCAGAAAACAATGATCAAGACATTCTTTAGGATTTACAGCTATAAAGAAAGCAGCACTGGGATTGCATCGGGGTGCTAGTTAGGCTTTCGGTTATGTGGGTAAGAATATTTCCTAAACTCTGTTAAGAAACCTTGCACAAAAATAATTAATACTTTAGTCCAAACAAAGATGAAGCATTCACCTAATTTAATATAATATGTACAATTGAAACAACTGTCATTAATTAGTACAGAGATGCCTAACAAGGATTAAATTAGTTCAATCCAATCTTTCAGGCCATAAATACATGAGCTCATGCAGGAGACTGAACAGCAAGTGGGGCCTCCCAGCTGCTCCATTTCCATCTTCATTCTTCAAAAAGGTCTCCTCAGGAACAAACACCCCTTCTCAAAGCCACACCCTGACTCATCCCACATCTTCAGAACCCATCTGCTTTAAATCGTCCAACTTTATTTCCCAGATAAGTTCCTAATTTTTTAGAAAATCACATTTTTGAATGTCAAATCATATGTCTCCATTGGTTTAGATTGCTTGTATTTATTAGTTTTTGATGGCAAGTCAATTTCATTCTTTTGAGGCAGTGCAGTGTACAAGACATGTGGGTTTTAGTTAGACCTGGTCTGCACTCTTCCTCTGTACATTAAAGGGGTTTCCTGAGGATTCAAGGAGACATCTCCAGGAGTCTCTGGCACACAATTAGCATCTGAAAGATGTTTATGCTGTCTCCTTTGGGTATTTTCATTGTCTCAATTGCCAACAACTCATTTTACCCACTTTAAAATTTGGACTATTGACCATATAGTCAACAAAACTTAGCCCTAGGTGATTCATGGATCCTTTTGAAAACAAGATAAAGGCTAAGTTTCTTTTCTTATCTGCTGACCGCCCCCCCATATACAAGGAGGAGATTCAAGCCCCTGACAGGCCAGCAAAATATACGTGCCTTTAGCTTGGCTATGGCAGTCATACTGTTGGGCATACACATTTGGCTTGGAACCTGACACACAGACTGGTGCCGTAAGTGTGATCCTGGGAGGATGCACTGGCCTTGCTGTTTCAGGTTCTACCTCTCTGTCAAAGGTCCCAGCTGGAGTGTGTGCTGCCTCCACATTAGGATTCACTAGTATCTTCAGCTCTGGAATGTGGTTGAAAATATTTGTCTGCCATAAGGTCACCATGCTAAAGGATCCTTCCTGACAGACCCAAATCCACTGCTTTACTAGTTGTAGAAAGTAGTCCACACCCATGGCTTCTGCATTCCATGCCTTCTGCACTTAGCTCAAAAAAGCAATAATCAGGGGCTCAGAGGGTTCCTAAACTTGACAAACCAGTAAGAAAATTATGATTTGAAACTCTCCTGTTGTTGGACGAGAGTATAGCTGGTGGAACCTAGTCCTCCACACCTGTCGGGTGAGGGCATTTGGATTGCGGGGCAGCGTACGGTCTGTGTAACTGATGGCCTAAAGTCCCGATGGTAGAGTTTCCATGCTGCCCGCCCATTCTGCATGCAAACTGGCACATGACCCACCACCTAATTTATGTAGTATGACACTGGAATTCAAAAATGAACTGGATGAATTAGAGAAAAAGCCAGAAATAAATCTCACTGAATTTTATAGGTATAAGCATCGAGTAAAATACTGTAAGAGGCAAAATTTGTCATGCAGATTCAAGACAAAGAGTGACTGCACAGAAGTGCAGTGAGTCTCCAGTGGTAGGTCAGCACCTACTGCTGCTCCCACAAGCTGTCAAGGGAGTTGAATGACCCTCCCATTCTACTCTGTGCAATTTGCCAAGAATACATTGAGGAAGAATACATTGAGGAAGAGCCAGAGGTAAGCACTTTCCATGGAAAGAGGCTGTGCACGCAGGGAAAGAGACAGTAGATGGCCAAGGGGCAAAGGGATCGTTAACTCTTTTACTGAGAAGTCCTATCCCAGCCAGCAGGGAAGAAGTCTACCTCTCACTGAAGCCGGTTCAGTAAAACTAGCAGTGTGGCTCATGTATGGGACAAGGAAGCATTGAAGAGCATGTCAGTGATTCCAGTCATTTAACATGCATGCAGATGGGAGAGCCTATGATTAACAGAAAATGCACCTAAGGAAATGCCACTCATCCAGTTTATCACAGGGATGTATGTAGAACATGTGCTGCATGAATGAGATGACATAAGAAATGGTACCGAGTGTGGGGTGCATGCTATGGCACGTGTGGACATCACTACATCTGACACCAATACGCATAAAGGGGGCAACTGAGCGTACTTTGCAAAAGCTAAAACTTTTTCTTTTTCTTTGTGTAGTGTTACTGTCATAAGAATAAATGACTTTCCTTAAAATTGACCAGATAGTTCCTCAGAAATATCACACTGTAGATGATGTGGGGGGGGGGGGTCCTACTCTATAAAACCATTTGCAAAAACATTGCCTGAATGAGGCAGAAAACAATAGCTCTGTTACCTG